GCCCTGGGTTCGATTCCTCAGCACCACATAAGCAAAAAGAAAAAAGCCGGAAGTGGCACTGTGGCTCAAGTGGTAGAGTGCTAGCCTTGAGCTGAATTTGCTGAGTGACAGTGCCCAGGCCCAGAGTTCAGGCCCCATGACCGGAACCCCCAAAAAAAAAAATCACACCAGTTTGCATTCCTACCAGCAACATACCTTATAACTTGTTTTCTTGCACCCTTTGTTTTTCTGTTTATTCTTTATTTTTGTTTTTAAAATAATTCAACAGATTTTTATGCTTGTACTTTTAGTTAAAATCTCATGATATAAATTTGTCATTTTCACCAATTCAGAGTGTAAATTGAAGGCTATTTAGTATATTAATAGTGTTATGTAACCATATCCATTGTCTAATTCCAGAACATTTCTACTCTTCCCAAAGAAGTTCCTTACCTACCCCGAGTCATTCCCAACTCTTGTCTTCCTAGCTTCTGGTAGCTAGTGACTTTCTTTCTGTTTTTATAGACTGGCTTCTTTTGGACTGTGATAGAATTATAGTCATAAATACAATTTGTGGACTTCCACGCCTGGCTTCCCTGGGTAACACCCCCTTGGTTCATGAGGTAGCTTGTGCTGGCACTTCACTCCTTTTTTGTGTGTATGTGCACTCATTCTAGAGCTTGAGCGCAGGGCCTAGGCGCTGTCCCTCAAAGTTAGTACTCTACCACTTGAGCCAAGGCACCACTCCTGGCTTTTTCTGAGGAGTTTATTGGCGATGAGAGTCTCACAGCCTTTCCTGCCTAGGCTGGCCTTGAGCCAGATCTCAGCCTTCTGAGTAGCTAGGATTGCAGGTATGAGCCAACACAACCCAGCTTCCCCTCAGTATTTGCAATGTTTCAGGGTTGGATTTGTTTATCTAGTTCATCTAGTGATCACTTTTGTTTATCTAGTTTATCGATTTTATTTATCTAGTTCATCTAGTGATGGCCATTTAGATTGTTTTTACTTTACAGATGTCTTGAATATGTTGCTGGGAACATTCACATACAGGTACACTGTAGATGTACACTGTGTAGTGGAACTGTTAGCCATGTGATAGAGGTTGACCTGTTGAGTGGCCTCCAACATGTTAGATCTTTTTATCCCATACGACAAAGGTTTAATTTGGGACAGAGGCTTATCTAAGCCCACATTTGGCCTCCCTAATCCAGTTTTCTACCTATTGTGTTATGGCTGTTATTACCTCTTAGTTTTGCTCCACCAGTGTTGTCTACTTTTGTTTAATTTTTATTACATTTTAAAGAATTGCCAAATGCATTAAGGATATTTGCTCTCCCCCCCCCCCCCCCCATGGTATATGTAATGGCATCTGTATTTTTCTGATTTTTTTTTCTGGACAGGTCTTTGAGGGTTGTTTTTGTCCTCTCCCCACCCCACCCCCATTGTCGTAACTATTTTGTTTTTACTAAAAGGAAATGTTTTGGGGTTGTTGCCATCTTTCTTTGCTAAAGTAGATCAGATGGGGCCCCGCTACAATCCAGCACTTGATGGGTCTAGCAGAGGCCAGCCAGGCTCCAGGCACAAAGGGCCCTGCTCTGTACTAGGTGTTCTTCATGCAAACTTTGAAGTCCTGAAGGCTGATTCCTGTCTCCTGAGCCCCTCTTCTGCCCTTTCCTATATTGTTCCTTCCTGACAAAACTGCTGGTGGCTCTGTGTTGTACCTTTTCTTGACTCTTTTTTCTGCCTCTGAGCACAGGAGAGGCAGCTCTTAGGTGCTTTATAACATTGTTTGGAGTTTTGGCTTTTTCTCTCTGAGTTTTAGTCTTACCATGCTGTTTCTCATCAGGCTTGGATAAATGCAGTTGTTTGTGCTTTTTTGATTTTTGTTTTCAGGTTTTTTTTTTTTATCTTGATTTTCTTGTTAAACACTGATTTGACTGAGTGGGAGGACTTTGTTTTGATTATAATATTTTTGTTTTTGCAGTACTAGGGATTTGAACCCAGGCCCTTGAGTTCCCTAGGCATTTGATACTGCTAAGCAATGCACTCAGCCTTATGTTGCACTTGATATTTTTAGGATAAGGTCTCATTTCCTGCCCAGGCAGATAGATGCTAGGACTAAGATCCTACTGTTAGGCTTCTGTATTGGTGTTATCCCAAACAGGCATCCTCCACTGCATCTAGCTTCCCTCTGTGGAGAGAGGGAGACTGTGAACTTGCTTTTGAAGAAATGATATCTTAAAGCAGCAAATTAACAAATTGGGCTCTTCGGTGAGGTTTTTCCAAAGAAGTAAAGACTATGGTTAAAAATGAGGAGGGATAGCTGGACATTGGTAGCTCACGCCTGTAATCCTAGCTACTCAGGAGGCTGAGATTTGAGGATCCTGGTTCAAAGCCAGCCAGGGCAGGAAACTCTGTGAAGCTCTTATCTCCAATAAACCACTCAGAAAACCAGCACTGGCTCTATGACTCAAGTGGTAGAGCACTAGCTTTGAGCTGAAGAGCTGAGGGACAGCACCCAGGCCCAGAGTTCAAGCCCCATGACCGACAAAAAAAAATGAGGAGGGATGTTAAAGTCACTTTTTTTTTTCTTTTTTTGGTCGGTCGTGGGGCTTGAACTCTGGGCCTGGGCGCTGTCCCTCAGCTCTTTAGCTCAAGGCAAGTGCTCTACCACTTGAGCTACAGCACCACTTCCGGTTTTCTGGTGGTTTATTGGAGATAGGAGTCTCACGGTCTCTCCTGCCCGGGCTGGCTTTGAACTGAGATCCTCAGATCTCAGCCTCCTGAGTAGCTAGGATTACAGGCGTGAGCCACCAGTGCCCGGAAAGTCACATTTTTTGTAAATAATACAGTGAATTTTGACATAGTTAGTATAGGAGTCCTGGTGTTTTAACAAATTATTTAGCAGACGTTTATTATCTGGTACTGAGTTGAAGAGACATAATGATTATGTATTTCACACTACTTATACATATGATGTGTGTGGACAGAGAAAACTTGGTAACAAAAACATTAGCATCATATTAGGATTATAAGTTTCAAATATTGTATAGTAAAAATCTTTTTTTCTCTTAACAGAATATGACAGATACCTAGCATCTAGCAAAAGAATGGCAGCTGCTTACCTTGACCCAAACTTGAATCATACACCAAGTTCAAGTACTAAGACTCACCTGGGTACTGGTATGGAACGTTCTCCTGGTGCGATGGAGCGAGTATTAAAGGTCTTTCATTATTTTGAAAGCAATAGTGAGCCAACCACCTGGGCCAGTATTATTAGACATGGAGATGCTACTGATGTGAGGGTGAGTACTACTTCTCGTGCAGCGCCTTTGATGTGCATGTACTTGGTGACATTTTAATGGCACATCGAAGCTTAAGATAAGTAGTGTTTATTTAACTTACTGAGAACCATCCACAGTACAGGGATACCAGCTTTTTCTTTATAGAATTTATTTAATATGCCTGAGGGGCTGGGATATAGTTTAATAGTAGAGTACTTGCCTAGCATGTAGGAAGCCCTACAAGCTAGGGACTCTAGCCCTAGCAGTTGAGGGGGAAAACATTGCTAACATGTGATTGACCAGAAAATAATAACTGAATTACATTTTAGTCATATAATGCCATTACTTTTCCTTCCTTCCATCCATTCATCTTTCCTTCAAGTAATAAAATAGCTATTAATAGAAAATAGTTTTCTAGAAGGTGTAATTTTAGAGGTGTTTGCATACCTCCTGATAGAAGCTTTTTGTACATATGCTGATCCTGGGGCTTGAACTCAGTGCCTGAGCAATGTCCCTATGCTATTTTTGTTCAAGGCTGGTATTTCTACTACTTAAGCCACAGCTTCATTTCTGGCTTTTTGGCCTTAACTGGATTTGAGAGTCTCATGCACTTTTGCTGCTTGGGTTGGCTTCTCAGCTTGATCCTCAGATTTCAGCCTCCTGGGTAGGTTTGGTTACAGGCATGAGCCACCAGCACCTGGCAGGATGCTTTTTGTTTTTTGTTTTTAAAGAAATGATTGAATGTATAATATATGCCAGACACTAGGTAAGCTGTGGGAACAGGGAAGGTCTGTCTGAATTAGCTTTTGGTCACCTCAAATTCCTGAGGCAATTAGCTTATTAAAAGAAAAGGTTTGCAGGGTGCAAGTGATTCATGGCTCTAGTCCTCACTACTTGGGAGTCAAAGCCAGCCCAGGCAGAAAAGTCTTCACAAGACTCTTATCTCCAATTAACCACTCAAATACTGGAAGTGGTGCTGTGGCTGAAAGTAGTAGAGTGCTAGCCTTGAGCAAAAGAGCTTGGGGATAGCACCCAGACCCAAGTTCAAGTCCTATAACCGACAAAAAAAAAATGTTTATTTTGGCTTATGGATTTTGGGCTTTCCAATCCTTTATAGAATGGCTCCACTGCTTTGGGCCTCTAGGGAAAGATCTAGGAGATCATCCTGGCTCAGAGCAAGGAAACAGATAGAGAAGACTGAGATCTTACAATCCTTTTTCAGGGGCATAGCAGTTAACCTAAGGACCTATCACTAGGCCCTGCCTCATAAAAGCTTCCATAAAAGCTTCCAAGAACATCACCTGGGATTCAAATGGACCTTTGGGGGGACTTCAACATCCAAACCATAGTAAAGTCCCATTAAAGCCTAGAGACAGTCATGCTTGTAATGACAGCCCAGTGTGGAATACTTCACTGGAGATTGACCCAGTTGCTGGGAATCCTGAAGGCAAAGCACCTAAATGGAGAAGTTGGCACCAATCCTCGGTTTTGGGAGGGGGAATGAAAGCCAGTGATAGAGACATAGGGAGAGGAGCAGGAAAAGGTGACCTGTGTTTTCTAAAGTCAGGCATGAGCAGGTAGCACTGGGACCTCAGAAAACTGAGGGGACCTCTTGCTTTAGGGAAGCGTTGAAGGACCTCTTTCTGGAAATAGACTGGTGGAGGGTCACTTAGAAAGGTTGGCTACAAGTATTCTACTATAATGTTAATTAGAGAATTCATAATGAAGAACTGTTAGGGGCTTCTAGAGAATGTTCTAATCTATAAAGACCTACTACCTTGAAGGAAGAAACCCATTCAAACACTTTGCTTCAACCTTGGAAAACATTGAACAAGCTGTATAGGAGAGAAACCTTTAAAATATTATGAAGTTGACAAGTAGTAATTGTTCTAGACTTAGTGTATCAGGTAGTTTACTGTGCCACAGCTTCAGTTCAGACTTTGTACACCTGAGAGGCCTGTTGTGGAGTGGGGGAGGAGGTTACTGAGTTCTACCTTCATCAGCTTTCATCAGATACAGAGACATAGGTTATGTGAACACAAGTATTAAACTTTTGTGAAGGCAGCATGAGAAAATGTTTGTGGTCAAAAGTAAAAAAAAAAATTTTTTTTTTTTTTTTTTGGGTCCGGTCGTG